AGAAGTATACAATAAAGAAGAAGTCCATTGACCTGTGCCAATATAAGCAAAATATAACAGGATAATATCATTTACATGCCCACACAAAAATAAGAGTATCAAGGAAATTTTATACATGTTGCTTACATAACATAAGACCAAGATAACAAAACAAAATAAGGTCAAAGCATAATGCAAGGCAAAGACAAAACTCCTTCTCGGAGGCATGGCTTGACAGGTTCACAAAATGGCTCCTGAAGCTAACTCTAAGCGTGGGCTCCATGCTGCAGATCACCTACAAGTGCATACATAATATTGGGTGAGCGAAACTCAATGAGTAATAATACAATAAAGCAATGTAGATAAATGCACATAAGGTTCTCATAATTTCATAGTCATAATACGGAACAGCCTTGGACCCATCATATAAGTAGAATGGCCTTAGGCCCATCACATAACCAGAACAACCTTAGGCCCACAAAAGTCCATAATGGCCTCAGGCCCACATATAAGCAGAACGGCCTTGGGCCCAATCATATTAAAGCATAACAAAATGACCTTAGGTCCACATTGCACGTGTCATATAACTTTTACAAATTTCATTCCTTTCCATCAAAACATTATGTTGGTATGATTTGCAATTTGTGGCTCGAAGTGCACAAATAAGAACATATATGTACAATATTATTACTCCTAATGCGTTAGGTCCCGCAGTATTTCCTCCAGCACAGGACCTACATAAACATTTCACATACACATTTGATAAATAATCCATTCAATTCATACACTTTCTTTCATTAATTCATTTTACAATTCGGTCATTTTCCATTCATCTATAGGTATTGCGGAGGGACAAAACATGCTTAGAAACGAATTCAGAGGGTTAGGGAAATTAATAGAAGAAGGCAGATTTTTCCCCTGATTTTTGCACTTGCGGGAGCCCTTATCGCATGTGCGGCTCGCACGTGCTTTATTTCAGTAGTGAAGTGCAGCCTTGCCCTGTTTTCTGCACATGCGACTGTGAGCCTTGCACGTTTGGTCCTGGCTATTCTGGGCAGTCCGAAGCTGAAGAAAAACTTAAGCTTCTAGGTTGATTTTCAAGCCCCAAATCATGCAAAAATAACTTAAAAACATGATATATTAGTATGATACAAGGGTTATTGCATCTCAAACTCATCAATCTTAAGCCAATAACAAAATCAAGATCTCATCTTTTTCGTAACTTCATAAATTTCATGATCAAGCTCAAACACATAAAAACATGGATGATCCTTCAACAAATATTTGTTGTATGCACAATGTAGAGCTCATTTCATGCATTAATCGCAAGATTGGACTCAAATCAAGCGAACATGAAGAGATTTCTTATATTTAGTTCAATCCATTACATAACTCAAACCCTAGCCCAAAATTCCCAATTTCTTCTTGATTCCATGACAAAAATGAGTTAGAGGAAAAGATTGTAAGTAGATTATCATACCTTAACCCAAGTCTAAGGTTTGCCATTTCATTCTCTTCCAAAACCCTAGATCTTCTTCTTCCTCTCTCGCTAATTCACTCTAGCAAGCTCTCCACCAAATGAAGAACACAAGAGGCCAAGCACAAATACGACTTATCTCATAAATTTTAATTTAATCATTACGAATCATAATTTTTTAAAATTTCACCATAGACTCTATAAATCATGCTAATCACAGATATGAAGTCAGTTTTTGTTTATCGTACCTCTAAGGCTTTCAATTTCAGTTTAAAGTTATAGTTGCAACAAATATTCCTATGTCTAACAGATATTATTCCAAATTCACATAATTCACATATTGAAACTTGCAAATTCATATCAAACACATAATCATATGTTTGATATGAATTTAGGCCATGACAGTTTAGGCCATGACCGGACTGTACTCAGGCCTCAAAGGCAAAATTTCAAAATATTGTATATAATGTCCAACTCATTTTGGGGCCTAAAGCGGAAGCAAATTAAATAGTAATGTCCATTGAGCTTGTGCATACATGATAATTAAAACAATTAAAACAATGAAACATATTAACATACAACTATATATAGGTCACACACACACATAAAACTTAGGTAGATACACTATGCTAACAATACAGGGTTAAAGCCTCAACACGGAGGCGCATCTTGGTGGCTTGACTTAGCAGGTTCACAAAAGAACTCCTGAGGCTGACCTAAGGATGGTCTCCGAATTGTTCACCTATATACAGATAAAATACGGAGTGAGCGAAGCTCAATGAGTAATAATAAGGTAAAATGAATTAGGTAGATTAATCTAAATTCAGAAGAAGTATAACACCATACTCTTTCTCATTTACATCTTTCACAACATTATTCCTGGTCATACTTACCAAACGGCCTCAGGCTCAATCATATATCAGAATGGCCTTGGGCCCAGTCGTATATCAGAACGGTCTTGGGCCCAGTCGTACATCAGAATGGCCTCGGGCCCAATCATATATTAGAACGGCCTCTGACCCAATCATATATTAGAATGGCCTTGGGCTCGGTCATATATCAGAACGGCCTCAGGCCCAATCATATATCAG